CCGCCGCCTCGGCCGCCGCGCCGCCGCCGGGCGCGCCCGCGGCGGCGGCGGCCGCGGCGGCGGGCATGGTGCTGCTGCCCAAGGCGCCGAAGCGCCGCAGCACCTCGGTGTGCAGGCAGCCGGCGCGCCAGACCGACAGCGCGAGCGCCGCGTTCATTGCAATCATGAGCAGCCTGTCTTGGGCGGCGGCGTCGAGCCAGCCGGCGGCGTGGCCGTGGCCGAGGGCCATGGTGGCGAGGCCGACGGCGGCGCAGAAGTCTGCTCGAAAGGGGAGGGGGTGCGGGTGACGCAGCGGTGGCGAGTTTGTTAAACAGGGCGAGCGAGAAGTGCGACAGTTTTGGTCCCCGACCACGCCGGGCGGGCAAAGGTGCTGGGCGGGGTTGGTTGCTGCGTGCAAGCGCCAGGAGGCACCAAGGCGCGCGCCGGGCAGTCCGGAAGCGCGCCCGTTCGCCGTGTAGCCTGCGCGCAGCACGCATGGATGCTGCGACGCAGATCTGGCCAGATCCGCCCCGCCAGCAAACCCCCACTCACCCCGGCTCAGCGCGAGCGTCCCGGCAACGACGACGCGGGCCCGCAGGTCGTCGTGGGTGCTGCGCACTTCAGCCTCAGCGCTTGGGAAGGCATACGGCCCTACTGTGGGGTTGTCAGCGTCGGGTGAGCAGCTGGTTGGCTCGTGCCTGGGGTACCAGACCGGCTGGCGGTCCCGCCTGCCGTGGGCCAGCAACCCACCTGCAGCACGTGGCACCACTCTGGTGATACGAGGGACCCTCTTGGAAGAAGATACAGCAGGGGCGCGCCTGCAGGAGCTCCTTGAGAGGGCGAGCGCCATGATCAGGTCGGTTTGTTGTTCGGGGCTGCGCACCTCACGAAGCAACTTGTATATGTGCGATCAAAACAACTTACATATGGCGTGACATTGCGAGGCGCCCAATCTGCTCTAATTGCCGCGCCGATTCGGTCTCCGCCTCTTCAAGCTCAGAAGGGCCAGGCTGGAAGGTGTTTGCAGCCGATCACGTCAACACTCGCTTGCATAGTTTTAGTTTTTATGTACCCCACAGTCACGAGTCCCTTCTTGATCCGAGACTCACCGACACCACCATGCAGCGGCAGAGGCTCCTCCGAGCAGCCCTGCAGTGCTTAGCACGCTCGTCACATTCATCTCATGCCAGTAGTTGGAGCTCATTTGGCGAGATCGCGGGCGCTCACCAGCAGCAGGTCACCACTGCTGAACCGAGCTTGAGCTGGACGCTTGAAGTTTTATAGTTGGCTGAGCTCACGCATGATTAATTGCGCCCTCACCGCAGTGGTGGCAGGCTGCACGGCGAGGCGGTTGCGGCGCGCAGCGCGCGTGGTCGTCGCATGCTGCACCTGGCCAGAAAGCGGCGGCAGCATGGCGCACTTTCGCGTCCCGCGTGCACTCTACGCTAGCAGCAGACGCCAGTGGTTTTTCAGTTGCGGCAGCAGCTACAGTAAGGGCCACGCGCCGATCGTTCCTGTATCTTCGAGTCAGAAGGCATCGCATGTTGTGGCTGTGACTGCAACTGGGCCTCTGCGCGGCTTCACAGCAGGGGGCCCGTGGCGCCCCCGCATGGCCGTCACTTTGCGCAGCCTCCCGCCGACACGCCGCATCCCCCTTACAGTCAGAGCGGCAGCCATTGGGAGAGCCGTCGGTACCGCCTGCGCCGAACATGGGATGGACCCTGGCTGTTTTGGGGAACCCAGGCCCAGCTACCCACCAGCGCCCCGCATATCAGCACACGGCCCCTGCCGCTCCCCCCCCTCCCACCAACAGGCGTCCGGGCCCCCTGGCGCAGCGCTCTCGGCAGGCCTCACCGACCGCGCGCGGCGCCAGCTGGCGTGGTGGCTTGGCGGCTGCGCAGGCTGGGTGTTCTCGATGGTGGTGCTCGGCGGCGTCACCCGGCTGACGCGGTCGGGGCTGTCCATGACTGATTGGAAGTTTACGGGTGGGTGATCAGGCTCAGGCAGCCCGAGAAAGGTCATGCGCCCCCCGTCGCGAACATAGCCAGCCGCATCTGCGGCAGCTGCGGCAGCTGCGGCAGCTGCGGCAGCTGCGGCAGTTGAACCGGGGCCGCAGCGAGCGGGGCGTCCCCCTGCACTCCACGCCGCCGCCTACCCCCAGTTGGCGTGTTGCACATGCCCACCGGCTGCACCTGAACACCCTCCGCGGCCGCCCCCCAGGCGAGAAGATGCCACGCACCCAGGCTGACTGGGACGCCGAGTTTGCAAAGTACCAGGCGTCACCCGAGTTCCGACTCGCGCACAGCCACATGGGCGTCGAGGACTTCAAATTCATTTTCTGGATGGAGTACGGCCACCGCATGTGGGGGCGCCTGATGGGAATCGGATTTGCGCTGCCGGCAGCATACTTCGCAGCTCGCGGCGCGGTCAACGGGCCGCTGGCAGGGCGGCTGGGGCTACTGTTTGCGATGGGCGGCGCGCAGGGGCTGGTCGGCTGGTGGATGGTGCGGAGCGGCCTTGTGGTGAGCGGCCTTAGTGTGTGTTTGTGTGTGTGTGTGTGTGTGTGTGTGTGTTTGTGTGTGTGTGTGTGCGCGCGCGTGTGTGCATGCCGTGTGTGTGTGTGTGTGTGTGTGTGTTTGCGTGCCTCAGGCCGGCGCATCCTCGGCTCAACAAACACCAACCATGCTGTCATGGACCAGCATCCGGCGTGCGCCAGCGATTCGCATGGCATGGGGGCTCATGGCATGGGGGCTCATTCGTGATGCAGTGCTCATGCGTGTGCATGGGCATGCATGCATGCGAGTGCAGGTGCACGTGCGCCTCGGCTGCCTTCACAAGGAGGGGGCACCGGTCCCTCGTGATACCGCAGGGGACGGTGCTCTAACACACATCGCCGCTCAAGGCGGTGTGCATTTGGCTGATTAGGCTGTTTCTGCCTGCCCTCGTTGCTCTCAAGAGCTCCGTGAAAGAGCGCCGTGCAGGAGCGCTTGCAGCCAGAGCCTTGCACCCATGCTTGTCCCGCGTTGCTCAGCCGCCCCGCCCAACCCCTGCACTCCCTCTCCCCCTCAGGAGCCCGCCAACGAGCACGCCGTGCCCCGCGTCAGCCCCTACCGCCTGGCCGCCCACCTCACCAGCGCATTCGCTATCTACACAACCCTGGTCTGGACCACCCTCGGCCTCGCGGCGCCCGCGAGCGCGCTCGCCGCGGCGCCCCAGGCCGCCGCCGCGGCCGCCGCCGCGCTGCGGAGCCGCGCGCTGCCGGTGGCGTGCCTCGTCGGCGTCACGGCCGTCAGCGGGGCGTTTGTGGCCGGCATGGACGCGGGGCGCGCGTTCAACACGTTCCCCCTCATGAACGGCCAGCTGGTTCCGGATGAGTACTGGTCTTCCGGCCTGCCGCTCATTCGAAACGCGTTCGAAAACACGGCCGCCGTGCAGCTGCACCACCGCGCGCTCGCGCTGACGACGCTCGCATCGGTCGCCGCCCTGTGGGCGTCGGCGCGCGGCGCGCCGCTGCCCGCGGCGGCGCGCGCGTGGCTGGGCGGGCTCGCGGCGGCGACGGCGGCGCAGGTGACGCTCGGGGTGACGACGCTGCTCACATACGTGCCCGTGCCCCTTGGGGCCGCCCACCAGGCGGGGGCCATGGTGGTGTTCACCGCCGCGCTGGGCCTGCTCCACAGCCTCCGGCCGGCGGCCGCGGCGCCGCTCGCGCGCGCAGTCAGCCGCGCGGCGCCGCCGCTGGGCGTGGCGGCGACGGCGGCGGTCGCGTACGCGGTGACCCGGACGCGGTGACATGCCAGTTGTCTGGTCGCAGCGCTGCACATTGCGAGCGCCTGCCTAGCCGCCGCACCACCATTGACGTGCTGCCGTGTCTGTCTGGGCCGCGCATTTCACATGAGGGGCGCTTCCACCGTGCATCGTGTTCTTGCAGCGGTTGGTTTCCCCCCTGCCTTAATATGTGGAGTGAGTAAGCTAGTTAGTTGAACGATAGCCATGGTTCCACGAACAAGGTGGGGCAAATCGACAGCTGGCAGCGCCCTGGGCATTGGGTAACAACCATATGGCAACCCACTACACGGCAGGGCGGTGCTCTGCGACAGCTGTCCTGCCTGCCGAGTGGGCTCAGGGCGTAACAGCTACCAGTGGGCCTGCGAACTGGTGTGCGCCCTTGTCAGTGTCATCAGTGATATATGAGTGTGCACTTTGCACCTGCAGATGGTGCTCCCACCACCGCGTGTGCGAGTGCCACCCTCAGCAAAAGCACTGCATGTTGCGATGCTTCATGTAGGGGGCAAGCTTCAGAGGCGGGGCGCTGAATGCGCAGCTGCTTCGGCAGCCCATAGCCAGGGCGCTGCTCGGACAGCAGCACCTGCCAGGAAGCTGATGCCCCACCAGCTGCTCTCCGCCTGCAGCTCTTCTGGGGTGGCAGCGGCCACCCTCCAGTACCGTCATCCTGTGCTTCGCAGCACCAATGGTGTTTAGTCAGCTTGCCGGCCCGGAGTTCCCACACGCTGACAAAAGACACGACAGCTGGGCGCCACGCAGGCACGCAGCACAAGCTCTGAGGCCCATGCGCCTGTGCCGCCTCCCTGCGCATGGGCATCAGAGCTTGTGCTGCGTGCCTGCGTGGCGCCCAGCTGTTGTGTGTTTTGTCAGCGTGTGGGACCTCTGGACCGGCAAGCTGACTACTGGTAAAAACCACGCCACTTTTGTTCTGGCAATCCACAGTGCCTGCGGTTTGCAAGCGCCGTCCTGCTACGATGGCGCGCTGCTGCCCAGCAGCTGCCCTGGCCTCAGCCGGCCAAAAGCGCTGCAAGGCCTGCGGCGCGCATGAATGGTTTTCGGCCGGCAAAAGCCACTATACACAGCTTGTAACAGTCGGGTTTGACTTCGCCTGGGCCCCCATCGCCACCTGAGGTAGGGGTGCCCTTCACGATCAGCCAAAAGCGCTGCAAGGCCTGCGGCGCGCATGAATGGTTTTCGGCCGGCAAAAGCCACTATACACAGCTTGTAACAGTCGGGTTTGACTTCGCCTGGGCCCCCATCGCCACCTGAGGTAAGGGTGCCCTTCACGATCAGCTTGCTTTGCAAGGGGAGTGATGGGTGGGACCGGGCCAGGCCGGGCCAGGGGTGCTCTTTTTCTCTTTGCTGATATTTTCATCGGCGGCTTCGATGTTGGGGTAGTCAGGGCTAGCAATAGCCTCCCCTAAACTAGAGCGCCCTGCACCAGAGCACCAGTGGTGCTTGCACCCCCCTTCGGGGGGAGCGTTAGCGGAGCAGCATTCGGAGAGCCAAAGTGGCCATGAGCAGCTGGACGATGAAATGGGTGGCATTCTTAATGAAGAAGGGAAGAATTTTGGGCCTGTTGCAACACCCCGACCGGTGTTCCTCATCGAACGAGGTGGCAAAAGGGTGGGTGACGACTTTGCGACCGCAGCAGCCGACGCCGTCGCTGATGCAGAGGTGTGACTGCCCGTACACGGGAGGCGAGATGAACTGACAGAACCACTTCCTTTGTCGGCCAAGCATGCCGGACCGGCCATTATCGCCGTCAGTCATTCTACACACGGGTGCCTGAAAACATAGCGGTTGGGAGTCGGCGTGATGATTTGAAAAGCCTTCTACTGTTGTTCCTTAGTAGCCAGACGACCCCATCGCATCTACCAAGAGATCGGCAACCGTACCCTTCGACGCCGTGCGGCAGGGGAGCGGCGAAGGATTGATAATGGCCAATAAAGGTCAATGAATACCTGAGCGTGAGTCCCCAGGACTTGGCGCACGCGCCCGCGGGATCTAGCAAAGATATGGGCATGAGCGCCAAAAGAAGGCCGGGACCTGGCCACGCGCGGCCGCACGGATCGCATTTCAGGCAATTCGAACTGTCATTAGCACCCGCCTGAAAGTCCGCTGCAGGGCGCGTGCGCTTCGCAGCACCACCTGCCACGTTGACGAAGTGGCACACTCCAGAACGCTGCAATGACACCCCAACGCCCTCACAGCCCCTGTCCGTGTGTTGCCATTGTCACTGACTGCAGGCATGGATGACCACGATCCCCTGGGCTTGGGCCCGCCGGGCCTTATGGGTCCGTCCAGCGCGCCCGGCCAAGTGCCGCTCGCGCTGGGAGGACAGCTCATGGGGGGCGGCACAGCGGCATACCCCCAGCAGCAGCAGCAGCAACAGCAACAGCAGCAGCAGCAGCAGCATCAGATGGTGATGGGCGGCACGCATCCGGCGGAGGCAGCGGGCGCCGTGACTCCAGAGCAGTTGCAGTTGCTGCTGCACCTGCAGTCGCAGCAGCAGGCGGACGCCGCCTCGCTGTCACCGCACGCGCCCGAGGCGCCGGCCGCACCCACCGCGCCCGCGCCCTCGCCCGCGCCGGCACCCCCGCCGCCGGCCGCCCCCGCTTCGCCCGCGCCCGCGCCGCCGCGGCAGCCGCTCCCGAAGCAGCTGACGGCGGCGGTCAAGTCGGCCAGCAACGTCGAGCGGCTGGCGCAGCTGTTTAACGACCATTCCGCGCTGCTAAACCCCATCCACGTCGCCGCAATGATCACAAAGCTGCCAAAGCTGGAGGCGAACCTCGGCGTCGGCCACATGTCTGCCAACCCCGGTGCCGGCGTCCCGCCCTGCGACCCCTCGGCGCCAACCGCGCC